ACCAAAACAGAAGAAAGTAAATGCCTACCATATAAAATATTACTAAGACTTCTTTCTGTGGGGCTACAAGAACCTCATTACTTAAGTTGTTTTGCTTCCAAATTTCCCAATATTTTCAGGCTTGGCACCAGATCTTTATTTTCTCCTCATATCACCTGTATGAATTGCAAATTTGCAATACATGATTACCCACCTCATTACCTATGTTCACATCAAACAAGGACCTAACTGTACATAACCAAGATTAAAAAAAAGAAAGCTAAAATGGCTATTTGCATAGAATAGTTGATTCTTCTCAAATGCATAACTATGGAAACTCTGTAGAAGTTTCGGGGGGGGGGGGGGGAAAAGAAGCTTATTTTTTCCTACTTCTAAGCAATTTTCCTCATCCAGATGTAACAAAGAGGTTACATCTAAAACCCGAAATAAAAGTACTACCACAGCATTCCACTGCAGAAATTGGCTGCTCATGGCTTGGATGGGCAACCTCTTCACTGGGTACAAAACTGGCTGGATGGACAGGCCCAAAGAGGGGTGGTGAATGGAGCTAAATCCAGCTGACAGCCAGACACACAGGGTGTTCCCAGGGCTCAGTTCTGTTTAGTGTCTTTATCAATGATCTGCACAAGGAGATCAAGTGAACCCTCAGTAGCTTTGCAGTAATTTTGCACCAGGTTGGGTGGGAGTGTTGATGTGTTTGAGGGTAGGAAGGCTCTGCAGAGGGATCTGGCAGGCTGGATCAATGGGCCAAGGCCAATTGTATGAGGTTTAACAAGGCCAAGTGCCAGGTCCTGTACTTTGGACATGCAACGCTACAGGCTTGGGGCAGAGTGGCTGCAAAGCTGCCTGGAGGAAAAGCACTTGGCCATGTGGGTCAACAGCTGGCTGACTATGAGCCAGCAGTGTGCCCAGGTGGCCAAGAAGGCCAATGGCATCCTGGTCTGTATCAGAAATACTGAGGCCAGCAGGACCAGGGAAGTGATCACCCCTCTGTACTGGGCACTGGTGAGGCAGCACCTTGAGTGCTGGGTTCAGATCAAGAAGGACATGGAGGTGCTGGAGCGTGTCCAGAGAAGGGCAACGGAGCTGGGGAAGGGTCTGGAGCACAAGTGTGATGAGGAGCAGCTGAGGGAACTGGGGTTGTTTAGCCTGAAGAAAAGGAGGCTGAGGGGAGACCTTATTGCTCTCTACAACTACCTGAAAGGGGGTTGTAGAGAAATGGGTGCCAGTCTCTGCTCCCAAGTAACAAGTGATAGAACAAGAGGAAATGGCCTCAAGTTGTGCCAGGGAAGGTGTAGGTTGGATATTAGGAAAAACTTCTTCACTGAAAGGGTTATCAGGCATTGGAGCAGGCTTGCCCAGGGAAGTGATGTAGTCACCATTCCTGGAGGTATGCAAAGATGTGGCACACAGGGACATGGTTTAGTGGTGGACTTGGCAGTGATGTATAGAAGAAAATATAATTTTCTACCAAGCTGGGTTCTGTTTCACAATATAACCAGCCCACTGTCTTGAACCTGTACAAGTCCAGTATGCAGGCCTTACTAACAACTATGCCCTTGAAGAGGAGCTAAATGACCAATAAAAGGAGAACATCCTGTCCTAGAAACTGGACAACTGCCTGAGAAAGATGAAGTCAGCAAGAGTCTGCAGAAACTGGGGGAAAGTTAAATGCAGTGGGGAGATCACGACCACTGAATCGATTAAGAGACTGAACAGGCATACTTCACCCCCCCCACCCCGTATTAGAGCATGGGCTGTGAATTTTTTGTTTACTGTACTCTTAAAAGGTAAGTGAGATAAGTTTCAGCAAATCATAAAGTCGAATAGTAATGTGTACGTATACTGGGTGGAACAAGCTAATCAATCATGTATAAATGTGTGGAGTTTTGCTAACTCAGTGTGTTAGATGTGTGGAACACTACCTGGCTCCCACATCTGCACAAGTATGAAATAAATAAAATACCCCAGCTCTGTGTGTACACTGGCACCTGCACACCAGGTAAATGACCCCGCTTTGGAACAACAGTGGTGTCAGGTCTACAGTTGGACTCAATGATCTTAAAGGTCTTGTCCAAAATAAATGATTCTATGATTCTACTGTCTTCTGGCATCTGTGAAGAAATGACTATAGTTTGAGTACACACAGAGTCAGCTATGGCATAGAAGAGAAAACAGAGCTTTTATAAAAAGAAGTGGTACCTCACAATCTTTTAAGAGCTCTCTGCAGAACAGCTGTGCTGAAGATAACTCAGCCAACAGAGTGCACTTGGATTTTCATAGTTCTCAAGAAGGAGTTTTACAGGAAGGAAGTTACCATAATGATAAAGGCACGGAGGAAGAGAACCTCGCTGGACAGCAGACCTCAAATCCACCATCACTGTACAGGGAACACATCATCACAGTAGATAGTCTCATTAATATATTAGATCAATTTTCAGGAAGCAGCAATGTGACAAAAACAGATTATAAATAATTATGAAAGCAGCAGGTGACATAATAAAACCAAATAAAATTACGCCACTATAAACATATGCCACATCTGCGCTGGTACAGCCTCCTCAACCCAAAAGCACTACAACAGAAAGGCACTGAAAGGGGAAACAAGAATAAAAACTGTGGAACCACGTCCATACAAGAAACAATTAGACCAGGACTCTTACCCGGGGCAGGGAGAGAGGAAGGATAGCAGAGGAGAGTCACAGAAGAGATCCGTAAAATGCAGACCGGCTGTCAAGAAGACGAGAAATGATGGCTCACCTCTCTAATACAGGATCTAGCAAGCACCAAGTTATCAGGCAGCCAGTCCAAAACAAGAGTTTTGCATAATTAAGCATTACTACAGAACACTGTAGAAGCCCAAGGTCTATGTGGGTTCAAAAACTAATGAGATAAAGCTGTGGGAAAATAGGGTGACAGGGGAGACACTGAAGACACCACCTGCCTCAGCTGGCCCTGAACTGCAAGACTGCTGACAGCTTCGGGGGTCATACTGAAGGAGTTATCACTGCATGTTTGTCCTGTCCTTCCTCTCTTCTTGGGCAGATCCATCTGCAAACAGATCACTGTCAGACATGAGTCCCTGGTCTGACTTCACTGGAGTCATTCTTGGATTACGTTAGAAGCCAAATCTGCGGAGCCAACAGAGCATTGTTTGGGAAACTGCTGGTTCTCCAAGTTTTGTTGAAGGAAGCAGTTTTCTTGCTCACCAGTGTGTTTTTAATTACTCTCATAAACCCTGGACTATCCACACTCCCAGACATTTGCAATAAAGTTTCTATATTACGGCTTCACTGATAAAAAAAATGAAAATTATCCAAATCTTGTTATAAGACTTGGAGAGATAGTTACCAACTGAAGCAAATTCACACTATAAATCACTCCTTTAAAAAGCCATCTAAAATAAAGATTGTTTTCTGCCTTTACTGAGACTAACATTTCAGTGTCTGTTAAGCTTACATAAAAGCTGATACACACAACAGTGACTTGTATATTCAGCTTAATGCACTCTACAGGCCTTGATTCTGGAGATGCTTGGAAGACCAGTTTCAGTTGAAGGCACTATTACTCAGCTTTTCTAACAAGTACTGCTGGAATGCACAGCTCCAGGTATCTACTGAAGTTACACATGTTTGATAGTCACTCAGTGCCAGTACTCTTTTTTTTAAATATAAATACTACTGAGTACTGAAATTTAAATCTTTAATTTGCTCATAATCTCAAACTACTCAAATACTGGGAAAAAAATAAATAGTGTTTTCAAACTATTCTCAAATAGTTCACACTTAAAAAAACAAAAACAGAAGAAATGAAAAAAGCTTTCCAACCTCTAATAAAAGTTGCTGTAATTTTAAGTTCGACACACCCCTAAAATATAAATCAAAACAGAGTAAAATTCAGAAGCCCAGCACTGTTTGTAGCTACAAGTGGAGACTATTCAGAAATCAGTATTCTGCAGAGCACAACACTCTTCCAGTTCCCTCATACCACTCCAATAAAAAAAACTAACCAGCCAAAGAAAAACCCTCTGCAACAAAATTGATTTAAGTTCAGTAGCACTCTATTGCAGTAATTCTACAGCATCCTGAAATATGCTTCCAATTAATTTAGTTAGTAACTTGTCATAAACTATACTTTGTATTCCTAAACTTTCAGATTCTGCAGATTTCTTAACTCTTAAATACAAAAGTAGACACGTAAAGAAGAGGAAGCTTAACATTTTGACAGACAATTTGAGATGGCTGGGGATGTGAGAACAAGATACAAGGTAATTCACAGAAATTCTGGAAAAAGACATTAAGCTAGAAACTTCTGTTAAAAATAGTCAGTGATAGAACACCAATATTAATGCCCCAGTATCACCATCTCATTTCACGGACAGCAACAAAGTGTTGAGGAGCATAGTTTGCTCATACCTCCCAGAACAACTGTTTCATGTTCAGGCACATGTAGATCTATTAAACTGAAATTCCATTTGAGTAAATGTTTCACACAAGAAAAACAGTTAGTCCTCTTTTTCATCCCATAAAAAGTTGGCTACTAAAAGCTACAGTCCAGTTATCTAACAGGAGGTGGACCACATAGTCCTCTGAGACCATGGTCTGCACCAGACATGAGGCTCTAACTAAAGTGATCTGCAAATAAAACCTTCAATCTTTAACATAAGTTAAAGGTAACATGTTCCAATGTCATTTTTATTTAACTGTCTTGGGGAGTGGTAAGCAACTATATAACATGAAACTAATTACTGAAGAGATATTCCTGTAACCTTTAAAAAATCCCAGCCACCACCTAGAAATCAGTGATTGCGTGACAAATGAATATTTACAAGTTAATATAAAATTATTTAAATTCCAACAACAGCAATAAGATGCCTACCAATATATTATAATTAGCTCAGAAAGCTTTCAACATGTTCTGCTTCAGCTGCTAGGGGAAAGGGGCAGGAGGGAAGCGTCTTTTACTTATTGGTCTTAAAAAAATAGTGATATTTCACTTACCAGTTCCTATATAGGATTTAAAGCGTCCTGATAGTCTGTCGACAAAGGCACCTAAAACATCTAATCCCAGTAATGCTACCTGTTGAAACAAAAGCATTAGATATATATAAAACAGATCACTAAAAAATTCTTTAGAATATATTTTAAAGAAATTAGACATATATAAGCAAGTACGCTGAAAGACTGTATCTTAACCTAAAGTTCCAATTAGAGAGCTGCTAATTCCTTGAAAGCTTTCATTATAACAATGTTATCAGAATATGTTTGGAATGGATCGAGTATATTTACTTGAGCAGTTCAGATGTGGTAGTACTTGTCTTCAAACAGAAAGAAAATAAATAGTAGAAATCCAGTGTTTTAGTGTTTTCATCTACAAATTAAAATTCATAATTATGAGGACTAAGGAGTTGGAAGAAGCTCTTTTTTTTATTTTTTCTTTCTGGATCTACAGTTCTACCCTTCATTTTATTTAAAAGATGATTCTAGAGGTCTAACTCAATATTAATAGAAAATCAAATTCCTTTGAAACATGTAACTAGTAAGGCTTTAGGCCCTACCTCCTCTACCAGGTTTCTAAGCTGCTGAAAGAAATAAACCAGAATGCCTGAACAACAACAAAAGAAGATGGCAGGGGGCATGCAGTTACCAAACAACTTAGAATACAAAACTAACTAAGCAAAACCATAAATACTACTACAGACTGTAAAAAAAAAAGGAAAAAAAAAAACATGGTTTCAACAGTTTCCCAGATGGTAACAGCTTACTTCAATCTGGCTACTTAGCTCATCCACTAAAGTCATTACATCATCTTCCAAACTCCAAAAGAAAACAACTGAGGGAAGCTAATACTGTCTTCCCCAGCAGTTCAGACCACACACCATTTGTCCACCTGCTTGTTAAGGTAGGGAAGTTTTTTTTCCTCTTCATTTGTTCTTGTACAAACAAATAATAATAATAATAATAGTAATAATTAAAACCAAACCAAAAAAGTTCAAAATACTACTGGGATTGTGATGAAGTTCCCATCTATGAACAGAAACTAGATGAGAGGACAGTAACCACTAATACAGAAAAACAAAAACATTATCAGAAATTATCAGTTAAACTAAATTATCTTAACAAGTCCAGATGGTTTTTTTCCCCACCCTGGACTATCCTGCACACTGTTCCAAGACTTCATTCTTAATTTCCTATAATAGTTCATTATGAACACCAGCACCTCCATTTTCACATCTTGCAGTTAACTCAATTTGCTGTCCTTGAAGGTGCAAACACTGAGGGAAGGACTCCCTGAAGCTTGGGCATTCATAAGTTTTTCCTCCTCTCTGTTTTCCAGTAAGACATTCACTGCAAATTTTTCCCCCACAAAGACATAAGCAGAATTACTCCCCTCTATTAGCTATTTCTTGTCATAAAACTTAGAACCATATTTTCTTGAACAACTCTGTTTCTTTAAGATCCTTATCTGTCACAATTGTCCACGCTAGATAACAGGCCAAAAAAAATGTGACTGGAAATGAATGTGAATACACACAGCCCATGCACACAAAATCATGTGAGCTGCCTTCTTTCTACAGGAAACCAGACAAATAAGGTTCCTGTAAAGTCTGGGATCTGAAACAACTGTGCAATAAAGCAGATTTTAATAAATTCCATATTAACACAATAGATCTCCTTTTAAACAGGAGGTACAAAACTTAGTGCCAAGTTAGTACAACTCACTAGGTTGTACAATTTTCTTGGAAGTTTACACAGTTTTATTACATACTAAAACAGCGAAGAGCAAATATAAGTGGATGGCATCACTGGCTTTAATATATTGCCAACAAGTGACTATGGCTTAGGATAACAAAATATACTATTAGAATTGATAACTTAGATAAAAAAAATATGTCAGCTTTTATGTCAAGGCTTCCCAAAAGCTCTTGCCTTTAGTGTTCTTTTCCAGATTGTCAAGCGATATGAGACCTGAAACAAAACCTCAGTTTAAAAAGTGAGGATAGAAATAAGAAATTGATAGAAATAAGAAATTAATTTTGGATTTATACTGTCTTCCTATGCTTCTGTTTCTTGACTACAAGCCCCACCTTAGACTTGTCTTCCAGCACCAACTTTTAAGATACCTTCCCCGTGCAAGTATTTTGGGATCTATTAATGCACAAACCGCAGCCTTTCCTTCCATTAAGGTACTTACAGAGAGTCTCTCTCCTCTCTGCACATTTGATTATCTTTCTAAAATCTCTCTTGAGGACTTCTCCCATTCGAAACAGCACCAGCTCAGAGATGTAAAAAAGTAAAGCATGCAGGGCGGTTCTTTCTACTACAGATCTGCTCTTGGGTAATCCCAAAGGTGAGTTCCAAGTAAAATGGGAATATTTCATGATTATTTCCTCCAGTGCTCAGCCTGTAGGGTTTGGAAGGGGTTTTTTGTGGTATTTTTTGCCTTTTTTTGGTTGCTTGGTTTTGGCTGGGGGGAGATGTTTGGATAAAAACAGTGGCTATATGGAATATTTGAATCTCCATATACCTAAGGGGTCAGAGGCCTGATAACTGCCAGAGAAATGACTATGCATTCTACCATGACCGTTATCACCAAAGAATCTGATCCCTTGTATTTCATTTTGATCAGGAGCACCCACTGAGATAATGCCTGCATATTCCATATTTTTCTATCCCTCCTTGTGAATGGGTAAAGTTTAATCACCTCTTATGATGCAAGCCACATTTACCTCGATTAACCAACCACTCAAGCAGTTGTCAGTATGGTGTTGCCTCTTTGTAACTGTCTATCACAGATTTGCTTAATGAATGCAGTAGGGGTTCTACTTCAATAATTAGTGTACAAAAGCCACTTCACTAAATACTATAAATTTAAATATCCCGATGAGTAGTTTTGTCTTGTGATGTCTTTATTGTATTAAAACATATAGTTCAGGCTGCACGGGATGAAATAAACCTTTCAAAAGTTTTGAGACCAACCCTGGCTTTAAGAAATGCAAAAGCAGCAAACACTGCTATGAAATCCTCATCTCTGCAACAGCTACTAAACAAGAACCTTTACAGGTGAGAGGTAAGGGAACACACTACTACAGTCTTAAAGGAGCAATACTCTAACTACAACATGATGGTCACTGTTTAGCTCACACAAAGTCTTCCATGGTCTGCAACTTTGAAAAGACAACAGGTATGAAATGTCATTATATTTGTAGAGTGAGAAAGTATGACGTGGCCTCAGGCTAGAAGTAATGGGAAACTGCTCTAGCTACAAAATTGGCTCTCATTCCACATTTCAAAACAAGTCAGCTGAAGCATACCACTACAGAGCACACCAAATAAACTACCTCTCACTGTTTTTGTAAGGCAGTCTTAACATTTCTCTGCTTTGGCACACAATGTTCTCTGGGTTTCCACATCTCCTGGCAGGTATCATTCCTGCAGGATTCAAGTAGTCCTTTAGAAGGAGTCATTAACAAGTGATATTGGGGTCACAGGAGCAGCATCGGGGGGAAAACAAAACAAAACAGAAGTAGAGGCAGAACAGATCTGCAAGGAAAATGTTCCAAGCTCTCAAACAGTGTGTGGGACCATGTACCAACACAGGCTTCCCACTATCCATAGAAAAACCTCTCACCAGCACCATGGCTCTTTCCCCACCAGCTTCAATGAGGGATGTATTTCTTCTGGGCCTAAAATCACTGGATCTGTTTCTTACTCTGCATTCATTAAGCCTTTTGCCTGCTGCCTAGAAAGAGCCTTTGTATGTTGAGACTGATTCATCAGCTCAGTATTGTTCGATGCATTTAAACACTGCTTTTGAGGTTCACAGTGGAAAATAAATTTAGGTTTATTTGAACTGGAGCTGGTTAATTGTTGAGCTACTCTTTAACAAGCCAGTGTCTGGGACCGTCCTTGACTTCTCAAATCACAACAAAATTGCCAACTCAACTGAGAAATATTTTATCTGTTCTGGAAAGGATCAGACTCTTTAGTGAAATCAAGATGTTCCAACCAAAATGCAATTACAAATTGAGCCAGTGATTAGGAATTCAGCCTATTTCTTGCTCTGCAGCTCGTTCCTTTTCTAGCTCTCCTTCTACATACCCTCTCCAGCACTTCCACTGCTCTTCTGTGCACAACTTCCATGCATCTAAGCCTTTGGTAGGAAAAGAAATACAGTTCTTCAAACCATATCTGGTTAATCATATACACTTACTATTATTCTTACTATGGTTTTTTAACTTCCCATCCCTGTGGGGGGACATCTTGGGGCAGGACATTGCCAGGAAACCATCTCTAGTTACATGACTCGCCCAATGACATTCACACAAATGTCCTTGGATGTGGTCAAAGGATCTCTGAACTGGATATGGAAATACAGATTCTGCAGATTGCAATCTGCAAACTAGTCATGAGAGTCTAACAGGGGAATTATGGAGGTGACTATCTGGAACTCCAAAAGAATGAAGTTAAGGAATCGGACTTCCTGTCGCCATAGGGACAGCTGTGGTATCACCAAACAACTACACCCTGCAAGAACAAGCGTTGTTCCAGCACTGCAATGCTGCAATAAGACATATGCAAGAACATAATGAGATTATTTTTTAAGCATTGTCAGCCAAGCCCAAAAGTGTACTTTTTCAATTCTCAAGCACCTTGAAAGTAGCTAAAGATGAAACAAAAACATGTGTGCACGTGCAGTCTTCTGCTTCCCTTTTTGAAGTTTTTATTCCTAGTTTTCTTTACTCATCTCCCCGAGTACACTCCTATATCACAGGATACTCAATCACTCTGTGCTCCCTTTAATGTTTCCCACTCCAATACTCCCCACATCACCCACTTCTCTTGAGATCTACCCGTATTCCATTCCTTCCCCTAACCCAACAGCTTGCACAGAGACCAAAAACTGCCCCTGGTTTCACGGGCAGAAGGAAGCTTCTATTTTCCTGGGTCATTTCTTCACCCAGGTGGTTCATTCAGTCCCAGCCAGGTCATCTTCAGACTGTGTTCTCCCTTGTACAAGAAAATGCAATGCTGCAATCCTCCCACTCAGCATCAGTTGGGCAGCTGCCTCTGCTGACA